GAGTGCTATTTACAGTAGCTATAGCAACAGCTCCAAAATCTAAAGAAAGGAACTCTGCAGCCCATGTCTTTGGCTTTTTCCGAATTAAGTGATTCATTTTATTAGTTGAATTGTAGAGAGACAGAGAGAAGAGATCTGGCGCTTGCTGGTTCACTCCCCAAATGCCCTCAACAACCTACATTAGGACAGGAGGAAGCCAGGAGCCAGGAACTCAATCCAGTTCTCCACTAGGGTGGCAGAGACCCTGGCACGTGAGTCATCTCCTAATGCCTCCCAGAGTACACATTAGCAGGAAGCTACAAAGTATTGGCTGGAGGCTGGAAAGGGAACAGAGCCAGGACGGCAACCATGCACTGTGGTATGAGATGCAGGCATCCAAGTGACAGCTTTACTCTGACAAATGCCAACCCAGGTCTTTCTGTTTTGAATTCTATCATCACTTCTCCCTCTTCTCCTTATTTATTTATTTATTTATTTATTATCTATCTATCTATCTATCTATCTATCTATCTATCTATCTAAAAGAGTTACACAGAGAGAGGAGAGACAGAGAGAGATCTTCCATCTGCAGTTTCCTTCCCTGGATGTCTCAATGGCCAGGGCTGGGCCAGGGGGAAGCCTGGAGCCAGGAGCTTCAGCTGAATTTCCCACATGGGTGCAGGGGCCCAAACACCTGGACCATTTTCCACTGCTTTTCCCAGGCCATTAGCAGGGAGCTGGATTGGAAGTGAAGCAGTCGGACATGAACCAACATATATATGGCTGCTGGCATCACAGGTGGTAGTGTTACCTGCTATGCCACAATGCCATCCCCTCATCTCCCCTTCACCTCATTTTCAATTCAGTTTGCAGCCATACACAATGATACTCAAGTGAACAGTTTCACATCTTTTATTCTTACAACATGTAAACCTTCCAGTGAACCTAAAACTCTTAAAATCCATTAAAAACAACTTTTTTTTTAATTATTGAGAAATTCAAACACACACATAATAAACAAACCAGTGTAGGAAAAAGCTGATTTCTCCACGTGCCCTTCACCCACTTCTAACAACCATTGATCCACGTCTAATTTTGTCTCATTCTGACACTTACTTTCCCTCTTCTTGCATTATTGAGAAGTAATATTATATATCATATCCTTTTATAAATAAATAACCAATGAAGAATATTTCAAAATATTTTAAAATTATCATACCTAAGAATATATACATACAATAATTCCTTAACAATATTAAATTTTCAATGTGTGAATTTCTGATTTTTCATAAAAGTAATAAAGCTTGTATATTTTGTTTGAATGCAAATCTGAAAGACAGTCTATACTCTGCAGTGGTTGGTGTATATATGTGTGCACTCACTGTGTGTGTGTGTGTGTATGTTTTCAGACTGATTTATTTATTTAAAAGGCAGAATTACAGAGAAGAAGAGGCAGAGAGAGAGATCTTCCATCTGCTGGTTCACACCCCAGATGGCCATAAAAGTCAGTGTTGGGCCAAGCTGAAACCAGGAGCCAGGAGTTTTCATCCAGGTCCCCTTCATGGATGCAAGGGCCCAAGCACTTGGGCTATCCTCTGCTGCTTTAATAGGGAAGTGCATAGGAAGTGGAGCAGGTGGGACTCAAACCATGCTCATATGGGATGCCCATGTTGCAGGCTGTCTTAACATGCTGCACCATTGCATCAGACCCAAGGTTGAGGTTTTTAAAATTTCTTTCTGTAAATAGTCTCTTCTGACCATTTTTTATTGCATTTATTTTTTGACAAAATGAAGAATTTCTCTTGCAGTGTTTCTCTCATTCTGGATTTTGATGATTGCATCCCTTTTGTGTAGATTTGCATGTTCTGTCACTATTTCCTATAAAACAGCGTTTTTGGTGAGATTACTTGATAGATAGTATGTTTATCCAAACAGAAGTACACGGTGTCTCCTCCCCGCCCTCCCTGCCTCTGTCCATGTATGTTTCTCTCTCCTTGTTACTAGAAGTGGAGTGTCCAGATCCATTCTGTGAAAAAGAATCTCTTTATCTACTGTTTGTTTGCCTAGTGATATTGGTCAGAACAGGCAAAATAAGCCTGTAATTTGTTGCCTTATCTACCAGTTTTCAAATATTGAGTTAATATAATAGAATCCTCTGATCACCAGTTAATTTTAGTTTTGTGTTTTCTATGTGAATGCATGGGTTTGAAAATAAAAGAACTGGGTGGCCATTTGGCACAATGTTTAAGGCGCTTCTTGTTACAGCCAGATTTGATTGGGTTACCTGGGTTTCATTCCTGGCTGTGCTTTTGATTTCAGCTTCTTGCTAAGGTGCACCCTCGGTAGGCAGGTAATGGTGGTTCTAACTCTGGGGTCCTTAGCACCCAGGGAGCTGACCTGGATTGAGTTTCAGGCTCCTGGCTTCTGCATGATCCAATACTGGCTGATGCAGGCTTTGGAGGAGTGAACCAGGTGATGGAAGATCTCTCTCTCTCTCTCTCTCTCTCTCTGTCTCTCTCTTTTTCAAATAAATACACATTAAAAAAATAAAAAAAAATAAAGGAAATACTTAGCTCTGCTTTCTGATGGCTTGCTTCGCAGTTAAAAAACCTCTCTCAGGTTGTGTCACCTGCCAGTCCATGCTTATGAAGCCAATTCTAGACTTCACAGGAAGACATAAAGGATCCTTGTAAACTTCTTTTTTTAAATAAATCTTTTTTTTTTTTTTGACAGGCAGAGTGGACAGTGAGAGAGAGAAACAGAGAGAAAGGTCTTCCTTGTCCATTGGTTCACCCCACAATGGCCGCTGCGGCCGGCGCACCATGCTGATCTGAAGCCAGGAGCCAGGTGCTTCTCCTGGTCTCCTGTGCGGGTGCAGGGCCCGAGGTCTTGGGCCATCCTTTGCTGCACTCCCGGGCCACAGCAGAGAGCTGGCCTGGAAGAGGAGCCAACGGGACAGAATCTGGCACCCCGATCGGGACTAGAACCTGGCGTGCTGGCACTGCAGGCGGAGGATTAGCCTATTGAGCTGAGGCGCCGGCCGGGATCCTTGTAAACTTTAACATCCCAAATGCAAACTAATGTAATCCGGTACTGATACTATCATTTACCAAATTTATAGATGAAGATTTTGAGGGAAAGCATAACCAAGAATTGTGGCCCCCATCACCCAATAGGTAAGTAGAGAATCTCAGATTCCACTTTGGAGCCCCAGCCCCTAACATGTTTTTGCAGCTGAAAGCTACTTCAGTGTGGGAATTTTTCAATGAAGTAACTCATCTCTTCTTTAAATAGCAAGGAACTTTAAATTCCTGCATGGAGTAGAAAAAACAAGGAAAGCAGTTCTCACCAACAGGTGCTAGAGCAATCAAAGATGTAATTTCTGAACAAGGGATAGTAGCAATGAAATGTGGAGTTTTCACTTTAGAATGAACAGGCCTGAAGTTTTAACAGCATTAACTTAAGGACAACTGGAAACCAGCATAGTAGAGTGGAAAGTTTGGTTATAGACACACTTAGATGCAATTCCAACCTCTGCCGCTTACTAGCAATGCATCCTTACTAACCCCTGAAACTTACTTTCTTCCAGTAAAGTAGAGAGAATAACATCAGTCTATTCATTGCTAGGTGGCCCCGTAGGAATTCACTAAGTGGTAGTTTCTGATCTCCCAACTTACTGAATATTTTAATATTTTCTTATTTCATATACTATTCAACCATGTTTTCTTGTTAAAAACTCTTCTGTGGAAAAGTAAATGAACTTGACTTAGTCCTTGAATATAAGGCTTTGCTTCTTTTAACAAAAGGATAATTATTTTTGTCATCCTGGCTTAGACCAATTCCTCTTATTTCTACTGAGTCCCCTAGGAAATATGTAGAGCAACATCATGTTTATTTGATGACAATTTGTAATATGGCATGACTATAGGGAATATTGAGCAAAGGAACAAAACTATATTGAGTGGAAAGTCTAATGCAGAAAGGAGGCCAATTTTCAATACCTTTGGCCAAGTAGGCATTGGTATAAGGCACACCTTCCACATATCTTGAAATAGAAAGAAAGTGTTAACACGGTTAATAACAGAGGCATAAACATTCACTGGTCATTTGCACACATGTACAAGTTATATGTTTAAATCACACACACACACACACACACACACACTGCGATGGCTTGAATGTAAATGTCCCTCCACACTTCATAAGCGGGAACCTAATATCCAATGTAATAATATAAACCAGCAGAGCTAAATGGGAAGACATTAAGTCATGGCGGCCCCATCCTCATGAATGACTCCTGCTCAAAAAAGAGGTCAGGGGCAGCGCTGTGAAACAGTGGGTTAATCCACTTCCTGTGATACCAGCATCCAATAGGGGTGCCAGTTCAAGTCCTGGCTACTTCACTTCCCATCCAGCTCCCTGCTAATAAGCTTAGGAAAGCAGCAGAAGATGGCCCAAGTGCTTAGATCCCTTCACCCACATAGGAGACCTGGAAGAAGTTTCTGCCTCCTGGATTTGGCCTGGCCCAGCCCCAGTCATTGCAGCCATCTGGGGAGTCAACCAGCAGATGGAAGAATTTTTCTCTGTGTGTCTCTCTCTCTGTGTCTCTCTCTCTCTCCTCTGTATCTCTCTGTCTCTCTCTCTCCCCCTCTGTAATTCTGATTTTTCCAATAAATAAATAACTCTTTAAAATAAATAAATAAAAATAAATAAAAGAGCCAAGGAGAGAGAGTGGTGCCTTTTTACCCTCCCACTGCTTCTGCTGTGTTAGGATGCAGTAAGAGGTACTAGCTGGAAGCACTGAGCAGCACTTGTCAGATACGAATCTGCCAGTGCTTTGACCTTGGACTTCCCAGCCTCAGAACTATGAAAAATAAATTTCTATTGTTAATTACCTAATCTGAAGTGTTTAGTCATAGCAGCACAAAAGAACTGAGACACACAGGCAGTACCCATTTGTAATTCCCTATCATCTAAGTCATGACTGGTGTTAAAATGCTGACCCTTTATTTTCTGGGCAGGTCTTGTACATTTGCTATAGCATAGTTCCCATCCTAGAACCCTAAGAAGTCCTTGATGCTGCTTTGAAACCAAGCTTCCAGCCTATACCAACACCGAGACATGGACTAACAGGACGAGGCCAGCATAGCCCCAGTTCCCATTCAAGGTAATTGGTAAGAATTTACTTTGGACACGCAAGTGTAAGAAATGACATGTACCCATTTTTAAAATCAAAATTTCCATGTCTCTGCGCCTGCAGTTACTCAGGTACAAAGTGTCTGATACCTGCCATAAATCTAAGCCTTTTCTTCTGAAATCCACAATTTCTGCTGTGATGCCAGTTGTCCCAGTCATTATGGCCAATTTAAATGAAGGAGACTCTGTTTCCTATGATTCTGGCTTAAGCTGAGGGGATTTGTCATTACTTAATCACTTGCCCAGTGAATGTGTAGCTCGTATTATGTGCCAGGCATCGTCTTAAAGATTAAATTCCTTCTCCCATGAAAATTATTTCTGTCTATTGTCTATTTCCCTCTGTCCCTGCTCACTGTAGAAATTAAGTGGAGAATAATCAATGCTAAGGTGAAGAAGTGAAGCAGAGAGTAAGGGGTGGACATGTTATAAAGAATGACCAGGGAGGGCCTGCTGGAGCCAATGGGCAAAGACCTGGGAGAAGTCAGGGAGTTATTCATGCGGCTCTGGGGGAAGAACAATACACAGGAGAAACACAGAGAGTGAAGGCTATCATGGGGAGCAAGCCTGGCAGTCAGAGGGGGTAGACTGGAGTGAATGATGGAGAAAGTGATAGGAGGTGAAATCAGAAAGACTGGCTATGAGATGGTCCTGCAGACGCCAGCATGGGCCCTGAAAGTTAAGGAACTGGAGGGGGACGTTAGTCTATCATCTCACCTGCCCTGTTCCCATGATAGTCTACTCATTCCTGCAGTTCTGAATGAAGCTCACTCCCTTCTCACTTCATCTCTACTTGAAGTACCCTATTCCATCCTTGCCCCCAAGGGTCAGTCTCAATCTCTGGCAGTCAGCCTGGAAACCTAAAGAAAGCATCAGTGTAAAGTGCCAGACTCCCTGTTTTCTATTTGGAAAAAAAGGGCTTTTTGAAATAGCCTATGCAAGGGCCAGTGTTGTTGCACACCAGGTTAAGCTGCAGCTTGGAATGCTTACATTCCTACCAGAGTGCTTGGCTTGAGTCTCAGCTACTCCTCTTCCTATCCAGCTTGCTACTATGGATATCCTGGGAGGCAGAAGATGATGGCTGAAGTAATTGAATCCTCACCACCCACGAGGGAGACCTGGATGTATGTAGTTCCAGGTTCCAGGCTCCTGGCTTCAGCCTAGCCCAGCCAGGAGTAGATAAACAGATGGACATTCTCTCTTCCTCTCTCAAATAAAAATAAAAAACAGACAGTAAAATGTTTTAAATGGCCTGAGGCAGAAAAGACCAGAAACCAAATATCTATGGGTGAGTTTTCTTTTTCTTTTTTTGACAGGCAGAGTGGACAGAGAGAGAGAGAGAGAGAGAGAGAAAGGTTTTCCTTTTGCCGTTGGTTCACCCTCCAATGGCCACCGCGCCTATCCGAAGGCAGGAGCCAGGAGTCAGGAGCCAGGTGCTTCTCCTGGTCTCCCATGGGGTGCAGGGCCCAAGCACTTGGGCCATCCTCCACTGCACTCCCTGGCCACAGCAGAGAGCTGGCCTGGAAGAGGGGCAACCGGGACAGAATCCGGTGCCCCAACCGGGACTAGAATCCGGTGTGCTGGCGCCACTAGGCAGAGGATTAGCCTATTGAGCCTCGGCACCGGCCAGGTGAGTTTTCTAATCCCAAAGGTCAATGCAGAGAAAGGGAACATTAACCTCCTATGGGAATGAAAACACCAAAATTATCATCTCAGCAAATTATCCTGATGCCCTGGGTACCTGGCAGGCTCTGCTGTATAGGATGGCACTTACCATAGCTGTGGTTACTGATTTACTCTTCAAACTATCAACTCCATGGGGAAAAGACTAGATTTTATTTAATTTTCCGTTTTCTATGACAAAAGTTGCAAGGTCACTAAATGATTGCTGAGAAAATGAAATAAGTTTATGACAGGCATAATATCTATTCATGATTGTGTAACAAACTTTATTTTACATGAAAGCCATTGCAAAAAAGCCAATTGCAATAAAGGGGTGGTGTGATGTAACATAATCCGTCTTGAAAGGTGTCCTCAAAAATGTCCTAAAATCACCATCTCAGAAACTATCAGTTGTTCCCCAATATCCATTATCCTATTCTGAAGTTACATAATTTTTAGTTGGGGTCAAATTCACCCAGGGAGGAAAAAATGACTTTTCCCAGTATCCCTTGTGTGTTGATTGGATCATGTGACAAGTAAAGTACTTAGATGGGTGTGGAAATTATGTGCACACTTAAAGGAAGGACAGTGAATCCCTGGGACCTTTCACACTGGCTAGGATGAGAGTACAGTAGGTAGCCATTTTGGGTCATGATGATTCAATGATATCCAATGGCTAGCCAGGCAGAGAGGGGAGAGTGTGTCCCTGATACCGGGATTCTGTCAACCAGTGTTAAACTGCTTATGTCTGGAGTGCAAAAACTCACTGATATTATATATTCAATTAAAACATGTGAACCCTATCCTTACAAACACTGATGATTAGTCTCTCTTTGCAGTGCAGAGCTTCTGACTAAGGTAAATTTATAATAAACATTGGCAATGCCTAAAATAACTTCAAACCCATCAAAATGAATGATCTGAAAGACGTGCTTCTTATATCCTTGATTTTCCACAAGAGTACTAGAAAAATACAAGCTTTGTGGTTTCTATTCATATGCAATTACAACATAGCATATCCATTTGCATTTCTCCAATTTGCCAAGACTTTCTGATTCATAAACAACTGTGTATCTTCCCTCATTCTACCTACTTGCCACCTATTAATGAGACCTGTGGGTTTGTGTTGACACAGTAAACAAGGGCAAGGTCAAATATAAGGTAACTCCATTAGTATAGATCAGTAGAGCAAACCTGAGTCCTGGAGAGTCTGTAGTTTACACATCTTTTCCTACTTTTCGCTCTCCAATGTCACCCCAATACTGCTGTCCCTTAGTCCTCTGAAAATAAATCCATTGCATCTGTTCCCAGACCTTCCATTTAAGTCGCTGAGAATGAGAGTGCTTTTTACAAATAACAAATCTAACTACATATCCTCTTCTGCTTAAATGTACACCCCAAAGATCCCTAATATCTTGCAGATAGAGTTCCAAATCTAGAAATAGAAGACTTTTTGCACATCATCTTCTCTCATTGTCCATTCACCTCCTCCCCACTGAGGAATTCACCACGACACAAATTCCATCACTATTTTCCATCTTCATGTCTTTACATGTGCTCTTGCTATTGACTGTAGCAGCATTTTTTCCAATATGTTCTTGCCTTTAACATTTTCTCTGATATTCCCCCAGGACTCATTCCTCTGCTGTGCTCCCTGGACATCCTCTAGATACCTCTATAATGGGATTTAAACTGCACTGTTGTGTGTGTAGCTGTTCCTCTTCACTAGATTTTTATATGCTCTTGAAGGCAAGCAACTGTCACGAGTCTATATTTCTTCATTCCTGGTATTCAGCCCAGTACCTGCCTTACAGTAGCCATGCAGTAAATGTCAGATAAATGAATGAAACGTGGCCATGCAACTCCCGCCCATGTTAAAAGTATCTTCCTTCTTTCACATTAGTATTCTGACTTGAATATCTGGAAAATCAACTCACCTCTCACTTTTCACCTGACACTGTAAGTCAACCTGAGCAGTTCCAGAAAGGACAGACAGCATCCACACTGATCACTTAACCAACCAAGCAAGGTGCTGCTCCAAGTCAGAGCATTTGCCTTTCCTGTTACAGAAATCTAATTAGAACAGAATGTGAGCTCAGAACTCTTCCTAATGACTGTTAATAACATAGCAGAAGAATAGAAGCAAAATTGTCATAGTTACACACAAAATAACAACTTTAATTGGCAAAATTAAACTTCTAAAAGCCAAAACTATATCAAGGTGGCTGAACTCCTTTTGGAACCAAAATGACTTGGATAATAGAAACCATGTCTGATGTAGTTTAAGGTCTTCTGTTACCATATGTGCTCTCCTCATAGTGACAGATGGGTATTGATAATTTTTTCTCAACTGCACAAAAGCTAGCTGAAGCATATGCAAAACTCTTAATGGCATTCAAGTTTTGCCAATTAAAAACATGTTCAAGCATTTGATACAGTACTTGATAGCATGTTTCACAAGTTCCATTCTGAATTTTAAATCATGATTTTTACTACATTGTTTGTCAGGCTAGTGTGACTAAAACAATTATCACATGGGTCATATTTTCAGTCCTTTTATCATTTTGGCACTTGTCAAATTTAATGATGGAAAACAGTAAAGTCATGAAACCATCATAGAAAAAATAAAGTATTAAGTTACAAATAATGTACGTGAAACAAAAATCAGTATATAGGGAGAAGTGGCACAAGTAGGCCACCAGTAAAAAGGTAGCCCTCCCACAACTAATTATCCAAGATTATTTATTTCCTTTAAGTAATCATAAAGTTTAGAATAATTCAGATTGGATAGGACAATTTTAAGAAATTGATGTTTTCTACATTGTCTTACTTGGTTTTGTTTGTTTTTCTTATATCAATATTTTAAGGGACTCTTAATCTGTTCCCCACTCCTATAGCCAGGCTGAAAATCTGTTCCTCTGTCTATGTTTTTCAGATCTTAAGAAATGCATTCTGCCTTTTGACCATCCTGTTTCTGCATTACCTATGGACATGAATTTAAATGAGTCAGAGGGCTATCTCATAAAGATGGTGGTTATTTTCAAATGGGTCCATTTGAAAATGTGTTTCAGTATTTGCTTGTTTTTTTGTTAACTGTTTTCATAATTTTCTCTCACCAAGTTGCTAACTGTTATATAATGACCTCAAGAAGGTATTAGGGGAAAGGAGGAAAAAGAGATCAATAGGAAATTTCCAAAATGAGTTAACATCTAATTACTTTACATTTTCCCCAAAGTCAATCAGGTAAATTTATGGAAGTTGTTTTTGTAGTTAACTTAATTAAGAAAACATGGTACCCAAAATGATTGAACAGTTGCCTCAATCCTCAGATGACTTGACACAGACCCAGGATTAGAAGAGTCTTCTGATTCCCACAGTAGAAGTAATGCATTTACTACCATTGCTACAGCACACCGTACTGCCTGACAGTTACTGCTGCTCAGCTTTCCAAATGGCACAATCAGTGTCTGGATCTGTTTACAATACCAGTCTCCTTCATGGCTGAGGAAAATCGTGATGGTGGGAACCAAAAGCCACTTAAGTCCAGCAATGGTAAATACAAGAAATAGCCATGACTGTCTCAGGTTAGAAAAAGATTGAACTTTTTATACTGGAACATTACACTGTTCTCTGAGAGGCCTTGATAATGCTTAACATTTATTAACAGCAGTCAAGTGGCTGCTCTCCAAAATCCCTGTTTATGGCAATGATTACACATGAGCCCTGACAATATTCTTAAAGGACAATAGAGTGAAAAGGAAAAAAGTCGAGTGTTCTCTAGCCTTGGTACCAGTTTTGCAGGCAATGTATTCAGCAGCTCACTCTCTGCTCCACAATGCACATCACTGAGTTGGTAAACTAGAGTTTTTATAGAGATCAAGAGAAATTTTCATTCCAGCCTAGCCATGGAAATGCCGCCAAAATCTGAAAGCCTGAACTCTGCAGCAATGAGAGAACAGTTGGTTTCTGCATCTGAAATAGGCTCTGGCAATGGTGTTGCATGTAGCTAGGTCCCATTTTGCAAAATAGAAGCCATTATCTTTAGCATATCAACCAGACAAAATTAAATTGTAATTACATGGAGACATCCAAAAGCAAGCTATTTTGTCTTCAGTTAAATTCAAAGAAGTGTAATCGAGATTACCAATTTCAAAAGAAGTTTAGACAGGCAATAAATATGGTTAGAAGAAACATGAAATTAGAAATTTAAAGAATACCAGTCTGAATTTTAATGACTGGTAAATAATATTTTAGGAACCCAAGTAATGTACTGTATTGAATTCTTTCAGCTATAGATTATGGAAAAGATATGTGAATTTTCTGCAAATTTCATTGATATATTAAGCAACTTCTTTCATTACCACAGCTTTTCATTTGCTTTTTAAGAAGTAAATATAAATATTTGTACTTGTAAAATGTTGTAAGGAGCCAATACACTGTGAAAAAATTGCTTACTCTTCACCCCCAACCAAAAATAGATGAATGCCACTTTCCTCTGCAAGACTCTTTACTATGAGAATTAGACCTCTGCTGTGGGAGAAAAATATTTTTTAAATCGGATCAGTCACTGTGGAGACTTTGAAAGAATAGCTTGTATCTATTTAAGATGGCCAAGAAGAAAAGTTCATACGCCAGTGCATTTCCCAATAATGAAGTCCTTTCCAAGGGGAATGTCAGTGGTTTTGTGTTTTACAGCCACCTGATTACATTCTGACCAAAGGAGTTAATAGCTAGTTACAATTCTAACCTACCAGAATTGAAAGTGAACTGCAAATGAGTTTTTAAGAAGTCTACCTATTTCAGCAACGTCTGATGAAGCACTTGCCCTGGCCGAGGTAAAATGGGAATCAGCAATTCCCCTTCAGAGCAACCCTGTGTTCTCTTTATCAGCTCTAAAGATGAGCAATCTGGCTCCTTCCCAAGTTCGGTTGCCACAGTGGAATATGGTGGCAAAGTCATTTTCACCAACCTCCCCAAAGTCCATTTAAGCATGTGTAACATACGCACAGACATGTACCTAAACTATGGAGGAGAGAGACAGAAATTAAATAACACTTTGAAAAAAAAAATCAGATAACATGAAAGAATCCAACAGGAATTTTAAGTGTCAGGTTGTTCACTTTATGACTAATGCTAACATTATATTCACAAGGAGAGAGTGTAGTCACTTCCACACATCCTTATTTTGGTGTAAATGTCATGAATAAGGCAATGGCAGGAGACACTCTGAAGTCAGGTGTTTCTCATGCTCTCCTTTGTTAGTAGCATCTTTCCATAGCATTATGCAGAAGCCTTTCGATTTCAGTTGCACAAAGGAAGAATTTGAATATCTTATTCCTTTTAGAGAGCTTCAGATCCAAGGGTGAATACCTCCCTTTGTGCCAATGAGGTCACACATAGACATACATTTAACACTGCTTTGACAGAATCAGGCCCTGTTTGCCTCGTGCATGCATAACCCTAGCCTCTCCTTGACTGACCTTTTGTAATCAGCGTTTTCTTCTCTCCAACTATTTGTTCCCCAGTTCCTGTCTGCCCTGTAGCACAAATCCAGTTACTAATGCTGCCAGAAGGCCTGACACTTACCACCTCTATCAAGCCAATTTGTGAATATGACAGTCTTTAATGATCCTTGTAAATAATAGAAAGCTAACGTTTGAAAGAGATAAGGCAGCTGCCAAAGTTGGCTAATGTCCAAAATAGTAAATAGTTTGGCCAGTAGGAGAAACCTGGGTTCAAGGGTGTCCTCCAGGTGCAAAATTGCCTACAGGCACCAGAAAGAAAGAAAATGTGGTAAGTGTGGTAAGTGTGTGTGTGGGTTCACTCTATCACAGCCTTGCTGAAAATAAACCAAGCATGTGTTTTTGTATTCGTATTTTTTTGTTCTTATTTATAAGCCTATCAAATAGCTTTGCTAACAAATGCACCAATTCATTCCCTGGTCTGGATTTGAGTTACATTTGGCCTTGACAAATACTGTCCAGATGTTGGCTAAATTGCATCTGCTTTCAACAGAAGGTCAATAAACTGATAAAACTGGCTTTGTGTTTCCCACAAATTTATTGATTCAAATCCTAGAAATGAAATTAAACCACAGTAGGAATGACCAGAGCTTGAAATGAGGAGAAAGAGCCAAGCATATTTCTACTGCCTTCTCTACGCATAACTATAATTTCTGCACCAATCAATTTACATTTTGGATAAGACCAATGATCATTGAATAAGAGAAGAGGAAAGTGATGTGGAGATTAGGGAGAGGAGAGAACAAAGGGAAGAAAGTGTGAAAAACCATGAACAAGACAGGATGTAAGGGAAAGTGAGAACATACTAAATTATGAGTGGTGGTTTACCCTCAAGACAACCGTATAGGCACCCCCTTACAGTTCAGTCTCCCTTGTTGCACATATACACAATCCTTCCGTTGCAGAGTTCTTTTTTTTTTTTTATTTGACAGGTAGAATTATAGACAGTGAGAGGGAGAGACAGAGAGAAAGGTCTTCCTTCCATTGGTTCACCCCCCAAATGGCCACTACGGCCAGCACTGCACTGATCTGAAGCCAGAAGCCAGGTGCCTCCTCCTGGTCTCCCATGCGCATGCAGGGGCCCAAACACTTGGGCCATCCTCCACCGCACTCTCGGGCCACAGCAGAAAAGAGGGGCAGCCAGGACTAGAACCCGGTGCCCATATGGAATGCCAGTGCTGCAGGCAAAGGATTAACCAAGTGCGCCACTACGCCAGCCCCATCAGTTGCAGAGTTCTTATAGGTAAGAGCAATATCCTGCACAAATACCTGTGTTCTCTCTTCTTTTTTTTCCAAATAAATTTGTGCTTTTATGTTTTGACTTTATTTGAAAGAGAGAGAGACAGAAAGACAGAGAGACAGAGAGACAGAGAATCCTCCATTGGCTAGTTAACTCCCCAAATGTTGGCAATAGCCAGGACTGGTTAGGCTGAAACTAGAATCCTGGAACTCAGTCAGGGTCTCCCATGTCGGTGATAGGGACCCAAGCTCTTGTGCCATCCTCTGCTGCCTTCCCATGGTGCCATGGCAGGAACCTGCATGGGAAGTGGAGCCAGGACTCAAAGTAAGCACTCTGAAATGGGATGCAGGCACCCCAGAGTCCTAACAATTATGCCAAATGCCCACTCCCATGTATTCTATTTTCTTAACCCTTTAAGAAATAATCGGATGCTTTTCCCACATAAGATCCTAAAACGAGGTCACCTGAGCCAGCGAGACTTTTAGCATCACAAGACAATTCTGAGAGTCATACGGCATTGGGGCCAGAATTGTGGCACAGGTTAAACCATGGCCTATGACATGCTGGCATCCCCTATGGGCACTGGTTTAAGTCCCAGCTGCTCCACTTCCAGTCCATCTGCCTGGTAATGCTCCCAGGAAAGCAGCAGAACATAACCCAAGTACCTGGGCCCCTGTTCCCGTGTGGGAGATCTGGATAAAGTTCCTGGCTCCAGGCTTCTGCTTAGCCACAGCCCTGGCTGCCGAGGCCACTGGGGAAGTAAAGCAATGAATAGAAAATCATTCTCTGTCCCTACCTATCTTTCTGTAATTTCACCTTTCAAATAAACAAATATTTAAAAAATAGAAAAGTGGCCAGGGAATTGTTTAATAATATACACTGTCCTGTTACTACAAATTGCATCTTTCACTGAGAAAGGTACCATGACAGGATAATAGGGACACTAAGAGCACTCGCAGGAGGTTGGAGGGCCTTATTTTTTGTGGCATCGTATCTCTATCCTGGACTAAGGATATAAATATGACAAAAGTACGACGCAGTGGGGTGGCGATTGGTCCCTCCATCCGTTCGTAACGATCCCACAAGCCATCGCCATTTGCCTACTGCGTCTCCCTTCGATTCACATCAAGATTCATTTTTCGATTTATCTTTAATATTCAGAAGATCAGCGTGAGTATCCTTTAAGTAACGGATATGCAACAGTTTGCTCCCGCTCCACCCCCCATAAAGTGAAAAAATAATAGATGATTTTTTTTTTTTTGATGATGAAATCGGATCAGACCTCCTTGTCCTTGTTTTTTCTCAGTGCGAGTGAAGGGGGGGAAGGGGGAAATTCTTTTCTTTTTTTTTTTTTTTTTTCAGAAGATCAGTTTAGTGTACATTAAGTAAAGATTTCAATCGTTTGCACCCCCATAGAAACACAAAGTGAAATATACTGTTTGAGTACTCGTTATAGCATTAAGCCTCAGTGTACAGCACATTAAGGACAGAGATCCTACATGAGGAGTAAGTGCACAGTTGACTATGACCGTGTCTAAACAAGATAAGAGTCGGAGAACTCAAGGGGCTTCCATAGCCTTGGAAACTCATGACTGGTGCATAGGGAGATTACTGATGCCATAAACAGGAGTGTCAATTTGTAAAGTCAACAACAGGAGTCACTGAGTTTGGTTTTTAAATACTAATGAAATCTATCTATCTATATATATAAATTTAAAAAATTCATACGACTCATAGGTAAAACTTTAAAATTGAGTTCTTAATGTAAAATACGGCTCATGTAAGTTGAACCAGACTTATGCAAATAGTATGTGTTAAAGACAAAAGTATTATTTTATGTTTGAGTTATTTGAAGATCAGTCTGCGACAAATAATCCACAGTGCAGATTGAAACTAGAAATACATGAATAAAATGTTTCAGCTCAAGTAAAAGAGTCATAAAAAACAAGAATTTACTTATAAAAAAAGTCTTAAAGCGAAGAGATTACATTCCTTTAGAATGGCTTCAAATACCTGGTGGTCAATTAGATACTAAAAAAAAAAAATCATAAATTAATAGTGAAATAGTAGTGGGAAATGGCTCTTGAAAAAGCCAATAACTCAGGAGTTTATTTGGAGTTTAGGAAAATTAGAACCATAATACAGTTTCTGAAGGCCTTGCTGTATTATAATTAAACATAATGTTTTAGTTCATTTTACAGTACCAAAGGATGAAGAAAATATTTATTATCATCAATTAGGCAAAATATATTTTAGAAGATTTTCATCAAAAATTAATAAAAATATACCATTGATGCTGAAATGGATGAAAATAATGAGATAATATGAATAAGTATGAAATAAAAACAAATGAAAAGAGCACTAAAGCAGATGTTAGAGGACTATAGGGCATCTCATTAGCTCAGTAAATCCATGAATACTTCCTTGCTTCTATTTTTTCATAAAGATTTACTTATTTGAATGGCAGAGTTACAGAGAGAGAGAGCTCTTCCATCAGCTGGTCCACTCCCCAAATGCCCACAATAGCTGGAGCTGAGCCGATCTGAAGCCAGGAGCCAGGGTCCTCCTCTGGGTCTCCCAGGTGAGTACTGGGGCTCAAACACTTGGGCCATCTTCTGCTGTTTTCCCAGGCACATTAGCAGAGAGTTGGATGGGAAGTGGTATAGCTGGGACTCGAATTGATGCCCATATGGAATACCCACACTGTGGGTAGAGGCTTCACCAGCCATGCACTGCACCCTTCTCCCCCCACTTCTTTGACTAGGGGGACATTTCCTGATGGAGATGATCATAGTTACATTATTGCTGTGCATGCAAGGTATTTATTAAATCCATGGTTGAAGATCAAAAAAAAAAAAAAAAAAGCCAACCTGGAGGTGGGTACCGAATGCATCTTTATTCTGCTGAGGGCAAATAATCAGGGATTCCTGGTCAGGAAGAAGTAGACCATGGTAAAGAAAAAGAGGGAAGGTGTGGGAGACAAAACTGAAAGTACCTAGTAGAGACAAGATCCCACAGAGCCTCGTAGGCAAGTTAAGAATATTTCATCTTGACCGTCTAAGTAAAAGGAGCCCACTGAAGTGTTTTAAACAGAGGAGTGACATAAATAAGCTTGCATTAACACATCATCTCTCTGGAACTGAACCAAGAAAGGACATGGGACTCGGGAAAAGTCCTGGAACATGTGGTTGGTCACAGTTATAATAGAGTATGAAAGTGATGATGAAAGTCTGATTCATGGGACTTTAGTACAAAGAGGAGTAGAAGAATTAAAAAACTCAAGGACAAAGCCTAAGTAATCTGATTTTAATTTGGAAAATGATTTAAGTAAGCAGTTCTCAAAAGAAGAAATGTGAATGGACAATGAGCATATGAAAAATGCTCATCAGAAAAATGCAAATCAAAACCACAATGGGATATCATCTCACCTCAGCTAGAATGGCTACAGCAAGAAATACTGGCAAGGGTACAGACAAAAGGGAATTCTGATACACTATTTGTGGAATATAAATTAGTACAGCCATTATGGAAAAACAACATGGAGTTTCCTCAAAAATCTAAAGATAGAACTAACATATGATCCAGCAATACCAAATCAGGGTATACATGAAATTTATATTGAAAATGAAATGAGTATATCAAAGAGATATATCTACTCCCATGTTTATTACAGCAATGCTTACAATAACAAAGACGTGGACTCAATAGAAGTATCTATTGACAGATTAATGGATGTTTAAAAATGTGGAATATATACACAATAGAAAATTATGCAGCCATAAAATAATAAAATCCTGTCCGTTTCAGTAAGATACATGGAACTAGAGGACATTATGTTCAGTGAAATTATTCAAACACAGAAAGAAAAATACATCATGATCTCATTCATTTATAGAAGCTGAAAGTGTTGATATTGAAAGTAGTTAGAAGGACAGTTGTCACTAGAAGCTAGGAACTGTGAAAGTTGGATAATGAGTTTAAAAGTGCAGTTGCATGTAAAGAGTAAATTCCATTCTTCTACTCCACAATAGGGAGACTATAGCATCTAATAGTCTATTATTTATTTTATAGAGAACTAGAAAAGTTAAAAAATCCAAAACACTCACATAAAAGCATTTAAGCATTTAGCTTAAAGGGATGAAAATACTAATCACCCAGATTTGATCATTACACATTGTATATAGGTATCAAATTATCATAATCTGTAACATTTATAGGTATAATTATTATGAATTAATTATAATTTAAGTTTTTAAAAGAAAAAAATGTTTCTTATGGATCTGCTCAAGATTACAATTTTGCTTCTCTACCACAGTTCAGGTACTCTCCAAAAGTTATATAACATTTTGGAAGTCTGCTTAAAACTAGTGCCAGCTTGTACAAAAAAAATCAAAATCCTCTGAACTGAAATTTCAAAACCCTGATGAAGTTTTAGGAAAAATTATAATTGGAAATTTGTGAGCAAATTTTCTTGTAACCTGGGATAAATCTTCATTATATCTTTGGGATCAGTCTCTTACATTCTATAGCAGAAACTAGTGGTTATGGATTCAAGGATTCCTTTTACTTCTTTGTTCCCACCTTCCTGTATGCTCAAGGGAAAGGCTATTTTTCCAGTTGTTGTTTAGAGTAACCTAGTGATCGATTTTAAAATGTTTTTTTTTTTTCTTTGCATTCCTAATAAGGTTTTTCCACTATAATAATGAAAACTGAAAACCACCCAACAGCTATATGCTTATAATTGCAAATCTTTTTCTGCATTAATATAGAAAACTTTGCCTTCTCAAGAATAGTATACACACTTTGTTTCTTGGATGGAATAGGTGGATGACAAGCTCCATGAGGGCAGGACTGTGCCTGTCTGGCCAACAGCATGAATTATCACTACACAAGGAGAAGATGATCAAGTGGGATTTCTGCATAAGTTGGAGATTGTGGTCCACTTCAAAAAGGAATCTGCAGGACTGGAAAATGCTTCCTTTCCATTGAAAATGAGATACTAGTAGAGAATGTATCTGCCTTTTTTTAATCTCTGGACCATGCTTTTTCTGTGCATGACACCAAAAACTTCTACATCTATCATGTTGTAGCCTGAAGAAGAAGATGACACAAAAAAGAGGCCGAATTAAGAGAGCCAGAGAGAACAGAGCTAGAACCCCAGCTTGCAGTCCCCTGGCTAGTAAACTGCCTGAGTGAGATAATAAATTTCATTACTGTTCAGACCAAGTAGAGCTAATATCCTATTATTTGTAGCCTTGGGCATTCTAACTTACAAAACATCACTTGCATGTGAAAATAACCTGCTGTTAAGCATAAGTAACTTTGTGAATATGTCAAATAACATCCAGTTTATGCAACTTATCCCTAAGTTTTGCAGAAAATATTCTAATATGCCTCAATCTATTAAAACCAAGGATCCACACTAAACAAGAAGGTATCAGAACCTGGACTTTTATCAGACTTACTTTTCATCATTTTTTTCACTTATGATTTACCAAGACAGATGAGGGAAGTTTCAATTTTTTTTTTTGTCCTTCAGGGATTATCATTAGCATCATTATTATAGTAAACCTGTGTCAGGTACATTAATAGGATGAGGTGGTTAAGGTCCCTATAAATCAAACTATGTCACAGACTCCATTATAGAGTTGACTTCTTTCTAGATAGCCCAATAATGGCATTCATCTTGCCCTGCCAAGTTAAGGCAAACTTTTAGGATTGATAGATACAAACAAAAGAGGATTAGTGAAATCAATAACTATGTCCCAAGTGCCATGGTTTTTATTAATTTAGAAGGGAAAGAAATTGCTTCCAGAAGAGAAGTGGCATTAAAGTCAACATCTTGATAACTATATTGTAATCCATGGCTGTCCCTAGATGCCATCAACCTTTTATGTGCTAGCCAACATGAATTAAATGGGGAGGTGGTATGCAGTAGATTGCTTTCATGGTCCCAATATTCTACTCCCTTTTTGCTATTTAACCTTATAATTCTGACTATTTTCCCCAGTGTTTTGATCTGGGCTAGCCCTGTGACTTGCTGTGGGCCAACAGATGAAATGTGCCATCGATGAATGCAGTTCTCAAGAAAACATGTATTTCTGCTTGCTTTCTGCCAGTCTTCTCCATTAAAACATGCCTGTGCTAGGTGGCTGGAGGATGGGACACATGAAACAGAGGTGAGTTGCCCCAGTCATTCTGACTAAACTCTTTTAAACCAGTAAATAGCCGTGTGTCTCCCAGACATTTGAGTGACCCTAGCCCAATTCAACAGTCAGCTAGCTGCTCCATGTTTCCTTGATTAATACCAGCCAATATCAGCTAAGTCTAAACCAGTAAATTTTATCTTAATCACAGTTTCCTGATCTACACAAATGATATAATGATGTTGACTACTTGACACTGAGATTTTGTGGTTATTGTACTGTGTGATTTTACCAAAGTTTGATTTATGCATCATGATTTCACTTAAGTCATGTGTGCCAGCAGTGATTTCTCCAAAACCCCCATGATTGGTGGTTGTGTTGTTTTTTGTTTCATTCAAGCACTATTTTACTTTTTAGGAACAGCAAGCTCAGAGATCTTTCATCCGAATACTCCTACCATAGTAGGCTTTTGTCTTAGTGGCCAGATTGATAATGGAATGATGGAGAGCTTCTGGCAGTTACCGTTAATTTCCATTCTAATTCTCTGAACCGCATGTGGCCTACTACCTACTAGTTGTATCAAAGGCATTTCAATTTAATATGACTATAACTAATAGTTTTTTGAGTAAATTTGTTTCTTTTTCTTCATTACATCTCAATAAATGTTTTCATCTATTTACATTTCCTTGAGTCTGAAAATAGACTCCTCCCCCCTCCAAATCTAGCCAATCACAAAATGCTGTAGATCATAAAAAAATGAAGAATGTATTTGCTTCTCCACAATGGATACACCACCCTAGTCCAAATAGAATTATCTCTTTGAGTTACCACAGCAGCCTCCTAACTCACCAGTTTATGCAAACAGATAATTTGTTATAAGGACATGATTCGCCTCTCAAAATCATGAATCACCTCTCAAAATCAAAGGCTAAACTTGAGATATTGATTCAGATATGGAAGGAAACAGGGCTTCTGTGGAGATCCAGTCAGCAGGGACAGAGGTGATTACTCCCTGGATAGCACAATAGTTGTATTCATCTGCCCTGCCATTTCCCCACCCTCTGTTACTCTACTATAGAAATAAACTCAAGGAGGAGAATCTGATTGGCTTAACTTGGAACACATGCACACTATTTACTAGGGAAATGAAAAAAAATGTTACCTGTTGTTCGACCTAAATGAATATCAAGGGTGTTAACCAAAGTACAACAGACTGAACACTACATAATGAAACATAAATGTTATCAACTCCTCTCAACTCCCCCTATTATAATTGTCAGAATACCCTTTAATCTATTTTTATAGCTTTATCATAGAGCCTGTCACTGCAGTAAAACTGAAAATTGGGTTGCAATTAGACATCTTCTAAGATTATTTAATGACCTTATTTTTAAGCAGCTTCCCATGCTGGCTGCAGAAAGAGGTCTTCCTGCATCAAAGTTATACAATGACTCTGTTTCTTCATGCACATAAAACCAGTTTCTCTCATCCTCACTTCCTATCCCCATATCATTGATCATTAGCTTCTCATCCTGAAATACAGAATGGAGCCTAATTCAGGTAAATTTGATAATCCATTCTCAACATCTCACATTCTCTGTGCAGTTCTGTGATACCAAGTTCTGTGATCCTGTTACAAAGAGGAATTATTTGCAAGAAGTGGAAACATAACTAAAAAGTAGCTAAAATAAAAATATAGTGGAAAGATGTTGGAGGAGATAGAATTGCTAATTAACCTGATTTTATCATTATATACTGTATATAAATATTGAATTATCACACTGTACCCCATAAATATGCATGATTAAAATAATAATTAAAAATAGACAAAATGTTGCAGATGTTTGTAGATGTAGGTATTAGAGAACAGGAGGTTACTATAAAGATAGGTTACAAGATTTCTCATAGGAACACAAAAAATGCTGAGTAATCAGATTTCTGGAAATAAGTCTCAAGACATCCCAGTGGACTTTAGCTGCAAGAACTCATAGATTCACTCCTGTGCTTTCCTATTAGTTTATCTTGGCTATCCCATATATATCTACTCATTTCATCTACTATCAAGTGAGGCATTTCTGATGTCCTTTCTCCAATTTCTTAAAGAGAAAAGTGACTGATTCTGGGTTTTTGTTTTTGCTTGTGTTTTTACTAATAGAATGATGGAGCAACCTATAAATGGATCACTTCAGAACAAGTATCTATGCCTTATTTGGTCAGCAAGAGGTAGGCCAGAGGCAGAAATCTTTTATAGAGCTTGAGTAGCTGTGGCTATGGTTGACGCTGTTGATTGCATTCTCAACAGCGACTGCCTTGCTCACAGAGCCAGTGTGCCCAAGACCATGACTCTTGATTGTGGTCCGTCAGTGACAACGTATTTAGCCAGGAGCTGATTTTGTTCTGTGATCTAATTCTGTTCAGTGAGATACAAGGGAAAGTTTTACTGGGAGGTTTCTGGAGAATGCTTTCTTCTGTTTTATGGAAGATCTTAGGAAGCAATTCTCTTTGGCCTTTCACTAAGTATTGCCCAGAATTATGAAATCTATGACTGTAAAAGGGATGAACCTGAGAACTGAAGTGAAACTGATCATGCTTGAGGTCTTGATGGTTCACTAAGACTGCAAAGGTCCTACTAGAGCACTTCTTGGTATGTGAGGCAGTAATACATTAAGCTACATTTAATTGAATATTCTATTACTTATAGTTGAAAAATCCTGTCATAGCAGGATTTCTGTGTTCTGGGAGTGTGGGCAGGAGTTGTGCCCCAAAACAAATCTAAAATAGGAGGATATAATACAAACTTAGTTCTGTCTGTCTGCAGTGTCTCCATCACTTTGGAGATACCTGCAGGCTGACATGTTGACTTGGTCCAGCCCTGCCTTTTGCTAGTGTTTAGGGAGTCAACTAGCAGATGGAAAATTCATATTCATTCTCTCTCTCTCTCTTAACTCTCCCTTCCCTATGTTCTGTTACTCTACATTTCAAATAAAGAAATTTCAAAAGACATTCACATATACAATAGAGACATCAAACAAAAATTAATCAAAGGGGCGGAGCCAAGATGGCGGAATAGTGAGGGCACGCACCGATAGTCCGGGAAAATTTAGTTTAATAAAAGGGGAGTTACGGTAGCCGCAGAAAATAGAACCAAAAAAATTGCAGGGGAAACCCTTCTGGATGGAGCAGCTGTGAATCGGAGGACCTACTGGGAGAACAAGGTCGCCCACCACGCGGAAGCCAAGTCGCGGGACCCAGCCTCAGAAGCACCAGGGTCTATTAGACAGTGTTCCAAGGGGAGTGCATGCCACACAGACAACAGCGGGGAGACTTGGGACGCTCAGGGCTCCGAGTCCACACATCGGCGCTGGAAGGGGAGGTGAGCTCAATAACCCGAGACATTGGTGGGGAAACGGGGGTCAGAATCTAGAGGGGGGCTGGAAAGTGCAGCAAACTCACTACCTGAAAGAAGGAAAAAAAAAAGCTTCGGGGTTTCTCTTCCCCCTAACCTTGCAAAGGTTACAAGGCTGCAAGGCTTGAAGAATTCCCAAGAGACAAAGAGCAGGCCTCCTCTTTGGATTTACATATCAATGGGGGAGAGTTAAGGAACTGAGTCACTACAATTCAGTAGCCTAGGCAACCCAGTGGGAGTCCAGAGGAGCCAAAGACTGGAAGCTAAATACCATCAATTCTGCACAGCCCTGCCCTGTGGTGTTACTTACCCCCTGAATAAATAAAATAAATAAATAAATAAAAAGAGAGAGATTTACCACGCATAACCTGAGGGTGTCACCTTTGCACACCCTTAACCAGGAAGAACCAGGCAGAGCTCTCAGGCCGCACCCATCTCAAGCCTCCAAGGCTCCTCCAACAGCAGGCAGTCCACTTAACACGGACACAGTATAAAAAAAAAAAAAAGAAAAAAAAAAACGCACAGTGACGCAAGAAGAATTAACTATGCCGAGTAACAAACACAGAAATAGAGGGAGCAAGATCAACGATGACACTATGATGCCTCCAAATAAGCAAAACACCCCAAGCCAAGAGTATGAAGATGATGAGATAGAAGAAATACAAGATACGGATTTCAAAAAATTTATGATAAGAACATTTAGAAGTTTTCAAAAGCAAATCCTTGAACTACAGAAATCCTTAATGGACAAGATTGAAAATCTCTCTCGTGAAAATGAAATTTTAAGGAAGAGTCAAAATGAAACTCAGAAACTAGTAGAACAGGAAAGTGTAATAGTGAAGAGAAATCAAAATGAAATGAAGAGCTCAATAGATCAAATGACAAACACATTAGAAAGCCTTAAAAACAGAATGGGTGAAGCAGAAGAGAGAATATCGGACTTAGAAGATAGAGCACAGGAAAACATACAGTCAAACCAAAGAAAAGAAGAGGAAATTAGAAACCTAAAAAATATTGTTGGGAATCTACAGGATACTATTAAAAAAACCAACATTCGAGTTCTAGGAGTTCCTGAAGGCATGGAGAGAGAGAAAGGATTGGAAGGCCTTTTTAGTGAGATACTAGCAGAGAACTTTCCAGGTTTGGAGAAGGACAGAGACATCCTAGTACAGGAAGCTCATAGAACCCCCAATAAACATGACCAAAAGAGATCCTCACCACAACACGTGGTAATTAAACTTACCACAGTGAAACATAAAGAAAAGATCCTAAAATGTGCAAGAGAGAAACGTCAGATTACTCTCAGAGGATCTCCAATCAGACTCACAGCTGACTTCTCATCAGAAACCCTACAAGCTAGGAGGGAATGGCGAGACATAGCACAGGTGCTAAGAGAGAAAAATTGCCAGCCCAGAATATTATATCCTGCCAAGCTCTCATTTGTCAATGAAGGTGAAATAAAGACCTTTCATAGCAAACAGAAATTGAAAGACTTTGTGGCCACTCGTCCGGCCCTGCAAAAGATACTTAAAGATGTGCTACACTCAGAAACACAGAAACACGGCCATCAATATGAAAGAAGGGAAAGGAAGAACACCTACCAGTAAAAGAGCATGGGAAGCTCAAAGCATATACTAGAAAATATTTCCGGGAAAATGGCAGGGCAAAG